ACAACCACAGACAGAACAGGGAGAAACAGGCGGACACAGAGTTGGGCCGCGAACCTTTATCAGATCTTTGTGTCTGCAGCTAAAATTCAAAACTAAGTTTATCCACAAAATAAAAATCTGCCGACTAAAAATAGCAGCTGGTGTCTATAAATAGTGGCATCAGCATCGGCATCAGCATCGGCAGCAGCAGCAGTAGCAGCAGCAGTGTAGCTCAGAGAGAAAAACCTCCTGCTCATTTGGTCGCGTTTCCTCCGCCACAAACTTCTCTTTGTCTGCGGGCGGACAAAGTCAGGGCTCCCGGGCCATCTTCTCCCACTGATCCTGCTCTCTCCCCCTCTCTCTCTCCCTCTCTCTCTCTCTCCCTCTCCCTCTCTCCCCCCTCGTTTGTTTGGGTCCAGTCAAACACGCTGTCAATTTGCATTCAGCCGCTTGAAAGTAATACTTGCTGATTTTTATTGAAACGACTCGCAGCATTACCGTCAAGGCAAAGAGGATTAAAGAGAAATGAGCCTCCAATCCTCGGCTCCTGGAAGCCGCAGCGCGCTGACCCCTCACCGGCGGAGAGGAGAGGAGAGGAGAGGGGAAAGTGGAGTCTGCTTTTATGGACGCTAATTGAAGCAGGTTAATTGTTTTATAATGCCCCGGTGGTTGTTTTACGGTGGGCAATAAGCGCTGCAGACGCGGTTTCCTTTCACACACTCACAATGGGTTCAAACTTTTGTTTTTGTTGCCGATTTACCTCCAAGGCGCAAACTGTTCAACTGTGCGGTGATTTAGAGACGAATAAACGGCTAAAGTAATTCAGATGAATCACTTTTGTACAGACTGCATCTTATTTATTAAACATTTAAATCAAAATATTAATAATAATAATAATAATAATAAACTCACCAGAATATTCCTTCATCAACAACTAGCACCGCGGCAGTTCTTTTTTTTTTTTTTTTTTTTTTTTTTCCCCCTTATTTTTTTGGTTAAAAACCCTGCGGTCCTGCCGTCCGCCCTAGCCCCGT